AAAAAAAAAAAAAGTTCTTACAGTTACATCAATAAAGACGACTTAAAACTTTTGCCAATTATTCAATTTTTTAATGGACAAAAAATGCCTGTTTACAACACTTTTTAGGCTGGAGAGGTGTTAGCTTTTGTAGCTCATGATGCTTGTAATAGGGCGATGATCATCTTTAACCATATTAAGATTGCAGAGGCTACTAAGAAACGTTTTATTAAAGCTCATTATTAAGCCCTGGAAGGGCTTGTAAAGCATTAAGTTTTCCCCAACTGGCTGCGTTTTTTTTTTTTTTTTTTTTTTGTAAAAATAAATTTTTTCTGTCACATTCATGGTTATCTGATAGGTTCTAAACTATTTCCAATTGTGGGTTACTGGTCGGGTCTCTGTTCTGAACTCTACGGATTAGGTGGATACAGTTTTGAAAAATCAGACCTGTACACGACTCTGGGGTAGACCTCAGAAAAGGTAAGTCCAAGGTCTCACCTTTTCTAGGTAAGACCTTGTGATTGGTTAATTCAGATCCATATATAGAAATGATATTGAATGGAAACAATCTAGACTGATTTTAGTCATGATGAGGAAACTGAGGCAAGTAAAAATGTCACACCAACATACCTCATTTGAATGCTTATCATTTTGATTTGCTTATTTTCCTGTTTACTTGCCATGTTGACTGTTTTTACTAAAATCTGCACACTTGCCTGTGGGGATTATACTAAGATTGACTGCTTGTGTAAAGCGGTTTGATTTGCAAAACAAACACAGCGGTGTCATTTACATGAAAAACAAAAACGAGTGTTGATACAGTGATGCCATCCCCGTCTTGTGACGGTGAGGTGATGTAAATGTCTGTCCCATTTATGATACTGATAAATCAGGAAAACTTGGTATACCAATGAATGCCAGTTTGTTGGCCTTCAACGATGGTGCATGGAGTAGAAAGCAGACAAATGGCTCCTCAATTTCGAGGTAGTGACAGGGCGGAAGTGGTCTTACTGACCAATCTGAGGGTTTTGACACACCCAAATTATCTCGGACGCAGAGATTCATTTTGGCCATACCTATATATACATAGACTGATAGAGTGGGTGTTGGATACACAGAAGAAGGGATGGAGGGGTGGACAGTAACTCTCTGCTGGATCATTGGATGCTTTGAGTTAATTAATGGAGAACCTTATTTCTTTTGTCTTTGTCCTCGTCATCAGGACAGCATAACGATGCCCGAATGAACCTGGCCATTGCGCTGTCTGCCGCTCGCCATGGCGCAGCCGTCGCCAACTACACAGAGGTTGTCCGCCTTCTGAAAACCAAAGATCAGCAGACTGGCAAGGAGAAAGTGTGCGGCGCCCGCTGCAGGGACATCATTACAGGTGAGGGCTCCAACCTCTTCCCCAGTACCCCCGATTGATTCAACGCTTTAGCTCCAAGCTCTTTCCTCAGACGGGTTTTGGAGATGATGACATTGTTATTTCAGGAAAGGAGTTTGACGTGAGGGCCAAATGTGTGATCAATGCCACTGGACCCTTCACTGACTCTCTGAGGCAGATGGACAAACAGGAGATTTCCAATATCTGCCAGCCAAGTGCGGGGGTCCACATCGTCATTCCGGGATACTACAGGTACCGCAGAAACACGACGCTTGTTGCTGTTTCATATGCATTAACCTGTCCACGTTTGTCCCTTTGTTTTCTCATTCCCTTCTGCAAATAGTGGAGGAGCCTAACTATCACCTGACCTTCGCTTAGAGTTGAACACAATCTTCTCAGGTTGAGAAACGGCTCAGCAATAGAGTGGTTTTGTTGAAGTGGGAGGCTTTAAAGTTCAGCTAAGCTTATTGAGTAAAACCCGAGGGAGCAGTAGCCCTTTGAACACAAATGCCAACCACCTCATTTTCTTCTTCATCTTTTGCGCTCACCTCACCCTGCCCCCTCATATCCGTACCTCCCTCCTTCTCTCATCTTTTATGCCATGTTGTCCTTTATTTTCCCAACTCTGTCGCATTAAAAATGTTCAAACCTTCCTCCATTCAGCCCTGACAACATGGGCCTGTTGGATCCAGCCACGAGTGACGGCCGTGTCATCTTCTTCCTGCCCTGGGAGAAGATGACCATCGCTGGGACCACCGATTCACCCACCAACGTAACAGCCCACCCCATTCCAGGGGAAGACGACATCAACTTCATCTTGAGGGAAGTTCGCAACTATCTCAGCCCAGACGTGGAAGGTATTGGACTCTGCTTATATCATTTCTACAGTGACTACCTGAATAGTATACAACTCTGCTTCATTTTCAGTACGGAGGGGAGACGTGCTGGCAGCTTGGAGCGGCATCCGCCCCTTGGTGACTGATCCCAGCTCCAAGGACACCCAGTCAATCTGCAGGAACCACATAGTATCCATCAGTGACAGTGGGCTGGTCACTATCGCAGGTCTGCTTGGCCACCATTTGGAAAACTCCTCTGAAACTAATGTGTTGGTCTAACTCTGAGCTCTGTGTATCCAGGTGGGAAGTGGACGACCTACCGATCCATGGCTGAGGAGACTCTAGATGAAGCAATTAAATCCCACAGCCTCTCAGCTCAACCTTGTAGGACTGTAGGTCTGATGCTGGAGGGGGCCAAGGGCTGGACCCCAACCCTCTACATCCGTCTGGTGCAGGACTACGGCCTGGAGAAGGAGGTACAACATTGATGTTTTCTCCTTTTAACCAGCAGATGAACCTTTGAAGAGTGTTATAATTATTTCTATACCAAAAATTAGTTTAGAGCTTCT